GTGTCTCTGATTGACTACTGAGCTCTCCCATCATGGCCGGAACTCGGCCAATGTCCAACCGTTGGACCCTACTGCTGTCCTTGGTGATCCTACTCGGATGCCTTGTCATCCCCGGAGGTAAGCCTATCCAATCATACACCCATCGGTTAGACTCGCCTTGACATCTAACAACGCCGCATAGTCACCGTGAAACACGAGAACTTCAAGACATGTTCTCAATCGGGCTTCTGTAAGCGGAACAGAGCGTTCGCCGACGATGCTTCCGCCCAAGGTCCATCCTGGACTTCCCCCTACGAGCTCGACTCATCCTCTATTCAATTCAAAGATGGCCAATTGCACGGAACCATTCTCAAATCCGTCTCCGCCAACGAAAAAGTCAAGCTGCCTCTTGTTGTCTCCTTCCTCGAGTCCGGCGCCGCCCGAGTTGTTGTCGATGAGGAGAAGCGATTGAACGGCGACATCCAGCTTCGACACGATAGCAAAGCACGCAAGGAACGCTACAATGAGGCAGAGAAGTGGGTGTTGGTCGGTGGCTTGGAGTTGAGCAAAACGGCGACCTTGAAACCTGAAACCGAGACTGGCTTCACCAGAGTCTTGTACGGTCCGGATAACCAGTTCGAGGCTGTCATCCGCCACGCCCCTTTTAGCGCCGACTTCAAGAGGGACGGCCAGACCCACGTTCAATTGAACAACAAGGGCTACCTGAACATGGAGCATTGGCGCCCGAAGGTAGAGGTCGAAGGTGAGGGCGAGCAGCAAACCCAGGAAGATGAAAGCACTTGGTGGGACGAAAGCTTTGGTGGCAACACCGACACCAAGCCCAGAGGCCCCGAGAGTGTGGGATTGGACATCACCTTCCCCGGCTACAAGCATGTTTTTGGTATTCCTGAACATGCTGACTCTCTCTCCTTGAAGGAAACTCGGTAAGCTACTCGCGCAGTGACAATTTCGAGCTCGCAAAACTAACAGCGTCCCAGAGGTGGTGAAGGGAATCACGAAGAGCCCTACCGCATGTACAATGCGGATGTCTTCGAGTACGAGCTGAACAGTCCCATGACCTTGTATGGTGCGATCCCGTTCATGCAGGCGCATCGCAAGGACTCCACCGTCGGTGTCTTCTGGCTGAATGCTGCAGAGACCTGGGTGGATATTGTCAAGTCAACCTCATCTCCCAACCCTCTTGCTCTCGGCGTAGGCGCCACCACTGATACCCAAAGTCATTGGTTCTCGGAGTCCGGTCAGCTCGACGTGTTCGTCTTCCTTGGTCCTACCCCCCAGGAAATCAGCAAGACCTACGGTGAACTCACCGGCTATACTCAGCTGCCTCAACATTTTGCCATTGCCTATCACCAGTGCCGCTGGAACTACATCACTGATGAGGATGTTAAGGAGGTCGATCGCAACTTTGACAAGTACCAGATCCCCTACGATGTCATCTGGCTGGACATCGAGTATACCGATGACAGAAAGTATTTCACCTGGGATCCTCTGACTTTCCCTGATCCGATCAGCATGGAGGAGCAGCTTGACGAGTCGGAGCGCAAACTCGTCGTTATCATTGACCCGCACATCAAGAACCAGGACAAGTACAGCATCTCCCAAGAAATGACGAGCAAGGACTTGGCCACTAAGAACAAGGACGGTGAGATCTACGACGGTTGGTGTTGGCCCGGCTCTTCTCACTGGATCGATACCTTCAACCCCGCCGCGATCAAATGGTGGATTAGCCTCTTCAAGTTCGACAAGTTCAAGGGCACGCTGTCCAATGTCTTCATTTGGAACGACATGAACGAGCCCTCGGTGTTCAACGGTCCCGAAACCACGATGCCCAAGGATAACCTTCATCATGGCAACTGGGAGCATCGTGACATTCACAACGTCCATGGAATCACCCTTGTCAACGCCACCTACGATGCTCTTCTGGAGCGCAAGAAGGGCGAGGTCCGTCGGCCTTTCATCCTGACGCGGTCGTATTATGCGGGCGCTCAACGGATGTCTGCTATGTGGACGGGTGATAACCAGGCTACTTGGGAACATTTGGCCGCCTCCATTCCTATGGTCCTGAACAACGGTATTGCAGGCTTCCCCTTTGCCGGTGCTGATGTGGGTGGTTTCTTCCACAACCCTAGCAAGGAGCTTTTGACCAGATGGTACCAAGCTGGTATTTGGTACCCCTTCTTCCGTGCCCACGCGCATATCGATACACGCCGGAGAGAGCCATATCTGATTGCCGAGCCACACCGGTCTATCATCTCTCAGGCCATCCGCCTGAGGTATCAGCTTCTCCCCGCCTGGTACACCGCTTTCCACGAAGCTTCCGTGAGCGGAATGCCGATCGTGCGGCCGCAGTACTATGCTCACCCTTGGGATGAGGCTGGCTTTGCCATCGATGACCAGCTTTATCTCGGCTCCACCGGTCTTCTTGCTAAGCCCGTTGTCTCGGAGGAGGCCACCACGGCAGACATCTACCTTGCTGACGACGAAAAATACTATGACTACTTTGACTACACTGTATATCAGGGAGCCGGAAAGAGGCATACGGTGCCAGCTCCCATGGAGACTGTGCCGTTGCTGATGCAAGGTGGCCATGTTATCCCCCGCAAGGACCGTCCTCGCCGCAGCAGCGCCTTGATGAGATGGGACCCGTACACTCTTGTTGTGGTCTTGGATAAGAACGGCCAGGCCGATGGCTCTCTTTACGTGGATGACGGAGAGACTTTTGACTACGAGCGTGGAGCCTACATCCATCGTCGGTTCCGCTTCCAGGAGTCTGCTCTGGTCTCGGAGGATGTTGGGACCAAGGGTCCCAAGACGGCTGAATACCTGAAGACCATGGCCAACGTTCGTGTTGAGCGAGTGGTGGTGGTTGATCCTCCCAAGGAATGGCAGGGTAAGACCAGTGTGACTGTCATTGAGGATGGAGCTTCTGCAGCTTCAACGGCCCCTATGCAGTACCACAGCCAGTCTGATGGCAAGGCTGCATATGCGGTGGTGAAGAACCCCAACGTCGGCATTGGCAAGACATGGCGGATTGAGTTTTAGACTAGACGGAGATGTGGAAAGAGGAGCCATACATATATGCAATAGGCTCGTATATCAGGCATCAATGGTATTTATTTATGACGCTTTCAGATGCCCTTACATCCTGGTTGAGTACTTTTTTCTAGTAGTCCATAGACTAGCAGTGTAGTGAAAGGATGGAACCCCAACCCCAAAGAGGAAAAAGGAAAGGCGCCTCCCGGAGTGGGGCTGAGTCAGCGCCAGGGACGTGGCCGCCGATCAATAAATTTAATTGATGGAGTCCCAAATCTGGCGGGAAAAAAAAAGAGGCCGCATTCGGGTCGCTTTTGGCATTGAACTTTCTTCAGGACTTGTCGGCACAGAGTTTCTGGGCTTTCGGCATCATACCTCCCCACTTCTACTAATCTACCCTTGTGGAGGTCTCTCGTCCTTGCCAACAGCTTGCGTTCTCATTCCGAACTCAGCATCTCCACAAGCTTTGCCCCTGACGCCGCTGCTGCTCCGTCGCAGTCTCCGGAAACCGCAAGCTCCGCCCGTTCACTGCCCCGTCGTCGACACAAAACCGACTGAGCAATCGCTCCTCAACCACCGTAACATCTTTCTATTCCCGTTATACGTTTGTTACGAGGAACGCGACGGGTAATTGTGTTCATGATGTATCTTCTGTCACAAGCCCTGGAATATGGGGCTCCCCTCTTGTACGTCTTTCGCGCTGATGGACGCATCGTAATGGAACGCTAACTGGCCGCTCGAATTCAACAGCCTCATTACCTCCCCAGTGACTTCCTATGCGGACCAGATTCTCAGTATTCACCGGTCTAGGAGCTCGGCTGGATTTTCGCTGGACATCCCTTTGATTATGCTTGTCGCGTCCGTCCTGAAGTAAGGCTCCCATATAGGGATTGATGTCCTTTGAGAGTCTCGGCATTAACAACTTTTGCTAGGATCTTCTACTGGTTCGGCGCTCTCTACTCTTTTTCACTTCTGATCCAGGCCGTCATCACGGTCGGGGTGCAGGTAGTCTTGTTGAAGGTTGCATTGGACAATCGGCCATCGCCCGGGCTGAAGAACAGCGTTGAACATGTTCCGTTCAGCAGTGTGGACAATGGTGGATTTGCGCGACCCTACGATTTCTGGCAGTGGAAGAGCGCGAAACCGTACGTCTATTCTTTTCTCTCCTTTCAAGGAGACCATTCTATTGCGGTGAAAACTAACCAGAGTCGTCGATAGTTACTGGATGTTCTTGGCATATTTCGTCGGCGCGCTCACCTTCATCCAGGTCCTCCTGCCTCCGCTTGCCAACTCGGAATCCTACATCGGTCTTCTCGGATACGTCGGACTCGCCGTAGAAGCCACGCTGCCTCTTCCCCAGATTTTCAAGAATCACAAGTCCCGTTCATGCGCAGGATTCCGGCTCTCGGTGCTCGCAGCTTGGATTATCGGTGATATCATGAAGCTGAGTTACTTCTTCTGCAGCCAGGAGGTGATCCCCTGGGCCTTCCGGATGTGTGGTCTCTTCCAGTGTGTTTGCGACCTGTACTTGGGCGTGCAGTTTTGGATGTACAGTGGTGCCTCGTTCCGGACTGCGGGCAGTCCTCGGGGACCTAGTGAGAGCTTTAATGTGGAGGAGAAGGACATCCGAATGACTTGAACGAGCTTAGATACGACCGTGGGGTTTCCGTTGCTTTCCGTTGGCGTTGTACATAAAGCATACTAGCTATTAGACACGTCGGACCTTGAGTTTGGTTCGGCGTCCGAGGTCATCCGACCTGTTATCAACTGAATTAGACATAATGTGATGTGATTAGACACTCAATGAAGCTTCTGCTGCCAATCATTATCAGTAAGACGTCTATCTAATGCAGTCTTTCGCATGATCATCAATCAATTGGTGGGCAGTAAAATGACGTGAGGAGACTTTTATTGCCGCGGGGTAACTTCAAGGGACCCGGAGGAACCCCACCAGCAACTACTCGTTAGTTCAAGTCCATCTCCGCCTGTTCAGCAGAATGATCCTCCCTAGTATCTTCCAACTGACTACCTTGTGTCCGTTGCTCCATCCAGATTCACCATGGCTTCAGATCTAGAGACCATCCGCATTGGCTATGTGCCTGGTACAGTCCAACTTCCTTCCCTCAACAACCTTACACTGCTGTATATAATCACCTCAGTTGTGCAACATGGACAGCTTCCGCTTCTCCGAGCTTCTATCTAATTGACTGACAGCTAACAATGACATTCCTTTCTAGAACACTACCTTACGCCTCTCCACCTGGCGCTGCGCTCCCCAGCCCTGGCTGCTCTCCCATTCAAGCTCTCTCTGATTCCCTTCCCCTCTGGAACGGGACACATGATCACGTCTCTGCGTGAGAAGGAAATCGATGTCGCCATTGGATTGACCGAGGGTTGGGTAGCTGGCCTGGCTGGTAAGCAGCAAGCCCAGAAGGACCCCTCGGAGGGCGGCTACAAGGTGATCGGACACTGGGTCGATACGCCTTTGCGCTGGGCCATTGTCACAGGTCGGGAGAGAGAAGATATCCACACGGTGGCTGATCTCAAGGACAAGCGCGCTGGTGTCAGTCGTCTCGGAAGGTAAGGCCAACCCGCAGAATGAATTGGCATGCATTATACTGACGCGAAGCAGTGGCTCCCACATCATGTCTTTCGTCCTCGCTCAGAAGCAAGGCTGGAAGCCTGACTCGCTGTCCACTGTGCCCTTGGGCCCCTTCGCTGCTCTCCGCAATGGAGTGACCGGATACGATTCGGAGCATCCCGAGCAGGAGCCGAAGCCCACGGCCGAGTTCTTCATGTGGGAGCACTTCACCACGAAGCCGTATTTCCATCCCACTGAAGAGAAGCCTCATCCCGCCTTGAAGAAGATCGGTGAGATCTACACTCCCTGGCCGTCTTGGATGATCGTGGCGTCTACTTCATCTTTCTCAGATCTGGAAGCGGATGGCAAACTGCAACAGCTGCTCAAGCTTCTGGATCAGGGCATCAAGGACTTTGAAGCCGACACTGCTCAGGTTGTGAAGCTCTTGGGTACTGGGGAGTTGGGCTGTAACTACGGAGAGGAGGATGCTAAGGAATGGCTCAAGGATGTCAAGTTCACAGAATCGACTCGGGGTGTGCAGAGGAAGCTTGTTGAGGGTGTGGTGGACGTTCTCAAAGTGGCAGGAGTGATTGACAACAGCATGACCAATGATGAGGCCGTCGCAAGGGTCATTGGCATCCATCAATGAAAGCCATGAATTACCTAGGCCCCTACCATCAACGGCGGCAAATCTGAGGCATCTGTGTGCAATGCCACATAGCCCGGCACCTTTGTGTTCGTTATGTTAATTATGATCTCTCAACTCACTGGCTTCGGCAGAATTTGGATAAATTGGACAAGCAATTGATTTCTGAATGATTAAACCGAGGGCATTTCGGCCGGCGATCTTAATATGCTCGTCATCCCTCTCATAACCTTGTACCTCGTGCACTGGGCTTCACTCCGCGGCAATATAGTCCGATCATTACCAGGGCCGATTGATAGACAACATAGTATGCGGGATTATTTTGCCTTCGGCCAACTTTTGTTGGGCTGATTGACCGAAAACATGCGCCGCGAGTAACTGATAACCGGGCCGATAATGAGTACATGCCTTCATCACCAGGACGACTCCTACATTCCTGGGGTCATAAGTGGGTATCTGGCAGGAGCCAAGAATAGCATTTGAATTACGATCCATTCATTATGCAATCTGACGGCCATGGTCAACAGATCACCTTTGGGCATGAGAGCACCAAAAGTCAGAGCCACGATGGTCAGGAGACAATGGTCAGCCAGTTGGTGTATTTGGCTCTAGGAATCATCATCTGCATCAAACGGAACGTCCCAGATTCCAGGGCCAGGTGTACTTGGCTACCTCTCAACACACGTACAACTGCCGGTTACAGTTGTCGGTCCCGGAGAGATGAAGCCACGGCGATTATGTCTCACTCAATACTTCGATTTTCCACCTACTCCTTGCAGACTCTCATGGCAGCTATAAAGTTTATTTATATATGCCCGCGGCCAAGCTGTCAAATGAGGCTCGCCTGGTATCCAAACGATTATCGACCCGCCGCCGCGCTACAATGAACGGGCTAGCAGACTTCATCCCAATCATGATTGAACCGCTAGTGCACCTGACTGGGTACGCAAGCTACGATTTTCGTTGCCGCGTAATTGATCATGGGAAGAGAAGCTTGCCCTGGGTTCGGTTCATCACAAGCTGGGGTCCGTAAAAGGGAATGGCATTCCACGGGCCGCCCAAGGCATTGACAACAAACCATCCTGGAATGTATCTCGGTTGGTTCCCTGCCAATCATAGTTTCGATGAACTTGAGGAAAAACATGCTCTGTCTTGCAGTCTGGGAGCGCCACTCGAATATGACAATCTGGGGGCCTGAGTTATTGGCCGGCTTCGTGAGAAAAGACTACTATCTGGAATGTTTGACCCCAGACAACGGATGACAAGAACTCGGTCCAAGCTTGTTTTCCAACACAACACAACAGGCTTACGGTTAGCCTGGAGAAGACATAAAAGCCGCGACATGAACGGCCATAATCTGACTTCGTGATAGCAGCTCGACTCGATTTCGACAACCGTTCGGCACCGGCAACTTGGGCATCATCGACTGGTCATCCGCCCTCCCCATCGTTGAGGTAGTAGAACGTTCCTTCAGCACACACACTCCTTCGAAAATTCAGTCATTCCTTGATAAACAGACCAACTCTTCATTCCTTCCTTACACTATGACGCTCCTTAAAAATATTCTTGCCTTTTCGATGGGGCTGGCTTCTCTGGGAGGAGCATACGCCAAGCTCGACTTGTCTTCTTCTAACAACGTGGTTGTATACTGGGGTGAGTATCGCGACATATGTCAGAGTTTGGCAGTAGTTGACATGTCTACGACCAGGCCAAAATTCCTATGCAGGAACTGGGAGCTTGGCCCAGCAAAACCTGGGTTATTACTGCGATGGTAAGTGTTCCGCAATCACGGTGGAAGAGGCTGCGCTAACCCGGACTCTAGACAGCAATATTGATGTAAGATTAAGCTTCGATTAGAAAAGTTCTCTAATGGATGCTAATCATTCTGAAGGTCATTGTCCTTGCGTTTGTGATGAACGTCAACGGACCTGGAGGAGCACCGGCATATGACTTTTCGCTCACTAGTAAGAACTGCACATTGTTCGAAGGCACCAACTTGCCGAACTGTCCCCAAATTGGGTATGCTCCATATTGTCGTGTTTGGAAGCAGTAGAGCTAATCGAATGATGCAGTGCCGATATTACCACGTGCCAGAAGAAGGGGAAGACCATCATCCTGTCGATTGGCGGTGCGACGTACAGTGAAGGTGGATTCCAGTCGCAATCTGCTGCCCAGTCCGGTGCCGACCTGATCTGGCAGACGTTCGGCCCCCAGCAGTCCAACTCGACGGCTCATCGGCCCTTTGGCAACGCATCGGTGGACGGATTTGATTTCGATTTCGAGGCCACTGTGAACAACATGGCACCATTCGCGAACCGACTTCGTCAACTTTCCGATGCCGAACCCTCAAAACAGTACTTCCTGACGGCAGCGCCGCAGTGCCCTTACCCGGATCTTGCAGACCAGCAGATCCTCAACGGACCAGTGTCGATTGATGCCGTCTGGGTCCAGTTCTACAACAACCCCTGCGGCTTGGGCTCTTTTGTTCAGGGCCAAAGCACGCAGTCGACCTTCAACTTTAATCAGTGGGACAGCTGGGCCAAGAACGTGTCTCAGAATCCGAATGTGCGAGTGATGCTCGGCGTTCCGGCGAATACCGGGGCAGCCGGCTCGGGCTATGTGCCGGTCTCGCAGCTGCAGTCGATTATTCAGTATACCAAGACCTTCAAGAGCTTTGGCGGCGTGATGATGTGGGATGTCACGCAGGCGTACGCCAACTCGGGCTTTTTGAGTGGCGTCCGCAGTGCGTTGGGGCAAACTGCCTCGCGGGTGTTCGGAACTCCATACCGCTACCCCCTGCACTTATGGGGTCCTGAGTCCAACACTAACTGGAAGAAATGATTGATTTTATGATGATACCCCTTGTAGGAGTGTGTTTGAGAGATTTTAATATGAGGGAGGAGAGCAGTGGCGACTGGAAGCTGGTGGCGTGGATGTGTTGTTCCACAGGGTTGCTGGGATATCATCCTAGTGGAGCTGTATATACCTTCCGGTACATCTATCTTATTCAATCTAATGATTAATTAATATATTCTGCTGAGCTGGTTTGAGGTGGTTATGAGCTGCAGGCCGACTCTTGGCCCCGTGACTGATGACTGTCTGTCGTGGCATTTTCTATTTTGCATCCTATTTCTTCCTGTCTTCCTCTTCCCTCCTCGTTCATCCACATTCTTCATCTTCTCTGCCCCAACTCGTTCGACTTTATTTACCTCGTGCAGGGTCCAGCATCATCACCAGCCAGCCAGCAAGCAAGCAAGCAAGCAATCTTCATTACGCCCCGCCCATCTGGCCCCTCATCACCTTGCATGCACTATTGAATCCCAGCCCTGCCGATCGAATTCCGCTGTCTTGGCAGCCTCCATCCGGGATTTGAAGCCACGCAGTCATGGACTCTCATTCGGCAGGTCAATCAGGGTCGTTCCAACCATATTCTCAATAATCTTCTCTTTACCTTGGCATGGCGGGTCCCGAACTGGCCTGGCACGGAATCGATCGTGTCGATCGCCTTCAGCTGCTCCACAATCTCAAGTCTTGGCTGCATCCCAGCTGAATCACCATCAATCCTGCTCCTCGGACAACTTGGGACGATAGCGCATGCTGCACTGTTCTTCCTGCGAAACATGCGGTTGTGAAGGTATAAAGAGCAGCGTCATGGCTGCTGCTGCTGCTGCTGCATCTTCTTCCCGGCAGACTGCAGCAGGCCTTCTCTCTTCTCCAGTGCGCGGGGAACGATCCGATCCGTAACCTAGTCTACACCATGGCTCCCAAGTCCCTCTTCTATTCTCTCTTCTCCACCCTCAGCGTCGCTCTAGCGGCGTCTATCCCCCAGACAGATTACGATGTCATTGTCGTGGGAGGAGGTCCCGCAGGCCTCAGTGTCCTGAGCAGTCTCGGGCGCATGAGGCGGAGGACTGTGATGTTTGACTCGGGCGAATACCGCAATGGTGTTACGCGTGAGATGCACGATGTGCTTGGCTTTGATGGTCAGTTCCACCCGTCTACATAAAACTCTCTCAGTTCATATGAAGCAATACTAATATCCACAGGTACCCCACCTGCGCAATTCCGTGGCCTCGCCCGCCAGCAGATCTCCAAATACAACTCGACCAGCGTCATCGACATCAAGATCGACTCCATCACCCCGATCGAGGACGCCGCGGCCAACAGCTCATACTTCCGCGCCGTCGACGCCAACGGCACTGAATACACCTCCCGCAAGGTAGTCCTGGGTACCGGACTGGTCGACGTGATCCCTGATGTGCCCGGTCTCCGCGAAGCCTGGGGCAAGGGCATCTGGTGGTGTCCCTGGTGCGACGGCTACGAGCACCGCGACGAGCCCCTAGGTATCCTAGGCAGTTTGACAGACGTGGTCGGCAGCGTCATGGAAACCCACACCCTGTACTCGGACATCATCGCCTTCACCAACGGCACCTACACGCCCGCCAACGAAGTCGCCCTGGCAGCCAAGTACCCGAACTGGAAGGAGCAGCTCGAAGCCTGGAACATTGGTATTGACAACCGCTCCATTGCATCCATTGAGCGTCTCCAGGACGGAGACGACCACCGCGATGACACAGGCAGACAGTACGACATCTTCCGGGTCCATTTCACCGATGGCTCCAGCGTTGTACGAAACACCTTCATCACGAACTACCCCACCGCTCAGCGTTCCACTCTGCCCGAGGAGCTGAGCCTGGTTATGGTGGACAACAAGATTGACACGACAGACTACACGGGCATGCGCACCAGTCTGTCGGGCGTCTACGCTGTCGGTGACTGCAACAGTGATGGATCTACCAATGTTCCCCACGCTATGTTCAGCGGAAAGAGAGCCGGTGTTTACGTGCATGGTGAGTATCCTATACCCTTCTTTCTTCCATTCTGAAATTTTCCTTTCATCCATCCCTATTATGAATCATCAAATAAAAGCCAACTAACAAGTAACTTATAGTCGAAATGTCCCGCGAAGAGTCCAACGCCGCCATCTCCAAGCGTGACTTCGACAGACGCGCCCTGGAGAAGCAGACCGAGCGCATGGTCGGCAACGAGATGGAGGATCTCTGGAAGCGTGTGCTGGAGAACCACCACCGCCGGTCTTAATCCCATTTTCTTACTACCTAGTATTAATGTCCTGTTCATGACTGAACGACACATCAATCACTACTATG